GTTGTTGCTGGCTGGGATTAGCTTTAGTAGTGCTGGCATTTGGTGATGGTGAATGGCAATCTCCGGATTTTTACATAAAGTTGTTCATATGTACCAGGGATGAAAAAGTAGGTACTATTGTACCTTTTTCCGACGTTTGATGACTTAAAGGTACATTAGGTACAGTCACTAGATTTAGGGTTCAATCATCTTTTGATCAGATGCATTGTTAGTTTTCTTTCCTTTACCGTGCTAATATATTTACTTATAGGCACGGGAAAAGCTTCGCTTTCATTTTGAAGAATAAACAATTATAAAGAAAAGTGGTGGGTTGGCTTTCCTTTATGGCCGTTCGTTAAAGGGGCGGTGAGCGAATGGTAATGGTATGGTTCCCTAGGGACCCCTTAGAAAAATTGCCAAATATCACAATTTTCATTTGCGTTTATTCGCTTGAAAAATGTTAAATATTCATTTGCACAATACATTTTTATATACACATTTTTATATACAAGACATTTTTATAAAACACCCAGTAACCAAAATATACATCACTGGGGCGGCAGCCCCACGTTTATCACACAGAAAGGGAATTCTATTTACCTCATCCTTTCCCAAGGTTACATTACTGGGGCGGTAGCCCCAGTTGGGTCACACAGAAAGGAGAATTCTACGTAGTAAGGGTTATAGTCCCCAAGCGCGGCCGAGGGCCGCCTACGCAGAAAGGACTTCTAGGCAAAAATACAGTGGACGCAAGTAAAATTTGCGATTTTTGGCCATTTTTCTAAGGGGTCCGTAGGGAACCATAGGGGGCCTAGGTGGTCGGGGCTTGCATTTTTGTCAATGGCGGTTCATTCCCTCTCCAAAAAGGTGGGGTAGAGGTGCCACGCCCATTTACCTTTCGCTCACCGCCCTTTAACGAACGGCCATAAAGGAAAGTTTCCCCAAATTTGTCAATAGGAACACTTTACTTAGCTATCCTAAAATTCGTAGTTTTTTTCTTCTAGTGATTCAATGGCATTTACGGTCAAATGAGTGAAAACAAATTGTGAAATGGGTCTAAAAATGGTCTTTTGATTGATTTAGATCAGAATAGGCTTTCAGGCGTGTACATGCGCTGCTAAAGCGGATATTTGTAAGTTGTGTCAAAATATGACATAATAAAAACCAGCCTTTACTCGCCCATACAGTCCAGTGTGTAGGATGTCTTCAAATTTCATATTTTCTTTAGATGAGAACTATAGCTATTTGACGCATATTCGCTTTTTGATTTTTGAAAATACATACATACATATATTTAAAATGCTTTCGAAGTTACTTACGGCAATTTGATTATTTTCTCTAGACTTGCTGCACCTATTAAAAGGAATCGGATAAATTAGCAGACTTTTCCTGTTGTTTTATAAAAAGCTGGATAAAGAAATATGTTTTAAAGTGTATGTTTTTAAAGTGCGTTTTTTTGTTTTTTTTTTCGCTAATATTTTCAGTAGACAAAAGCAACGCTTCTACGATTCCCATTAGACTATAGTCTATAGATATAGGCCCAGTTAACAAAAAAAAAACCTTATCATGTTTAAATTAAATTCGTCTTTTGTATTCCTGTTGTAAATAAAATTTATAAAAAAAACTACAAATGAATGATGTAACTTTTTTAGACAGATTGTATCATTTAGGTACATTTATTTTATGATATTAGGTACAATTTGAAATTTCCATTTTTCATCCCTGATATGTACATATGTACATACATATTTACCTATGTACATTCATATGAATGCACGTTATCATACGGCAACGGCAGCCAGTCGCCGTATATTTTAGTGCTTGCTTGTTCGATTTGGTGGACTAGCGACTAGCTGTTGGCTTTTGGTGCTGCCATTCATTCGATAGTCGACATTTTGGAGCATGACATGACTTTACCGCTGTTTTGGAGCTAACATTTAGGTAATGCCCATTTATAACGCAAAGCAGTTGCCAAGAAGACAACATTTTTAGTTATAAATAAAGACCCATTAAAATGTTTGAAAAAGTAGCCAAATTTTGAAAAAAAAACCTGACTTTAGCTCTAACAAAAAAGTCATTTGGATATCTTTGAAAACACCTTCGAGAGCAAAAGGATCATAAGTTACTTTTCAATGAAAATAGTTTCCTCCGAATCCCAAGAGCGCATTATTATTTTATTAGAAACAAATTTTCGAACATACATATGTATGTATATATATAGCACCTTGTATTGAAGAATTGCGTGCCACTGTCAGCAAAAATTTTGTCAAAGGTCAACGCGATTTTTTGGCTACTTNCCCGCTGTTTTGGAGCTAACATTTAGGTAATGCCCATTTATAACGCAAAGCAGTTGCCAAGAAGACAACATTTTTAGTTATAAATAAATACCCATTAAAATGTTTGAGAAAGTAGCTAAAGTTTGAAAAAAACCTGACTTTAGCTCTAACAAAAAAGGCATTTGGATATCTTTGAAAACACCTTCGAGAGCAAAAGGATCATAAGTTACTTCTCAATGAAAATAGTTTCCCCCGAATCCCAAGAGCGCATTATAATTTTGTTAGAAACAAATTTTCGAACATATATATGTATGTATATATATAGCACCTCGTATGGAAGAAGTGAGTGACACTGTCAGCAAAAATTTTGTCAAAGGTCAACGCGATTTTTTGGCTACTTCAAACTTTATTATACTAAAAGTCAGTGCGAAACTGCATTTTCAAAAGTTTTCTATAAGATCTGATTAGAAAGTTGCAAACTTATTGGCAAATTTATAAAATTTTCCTGGGTTTTGCACAGAGTTTAGGCATTTTATTTTTTGTTTGTAGTATAAGCTACATACCGTTATCTTAATATAGAAAGACCCTTACTCATATAGTCGCCGACATGCAAAAAAACCATAACTGACTAAAATTGTTAATTGCTTAAAATGATTTGGGGACTTATAATGCGATCAAATGCATCAAAAAGGTAATTTCGGATTTTGACTTAGTTACGNTGACATGCAAAAAAAACCATAACTGACTAAAATTGTTTATTGCTTAAAATGATTTGGGGACTTATCATGCGATCAAATGCATCAAAAAGGTAATTTCGGATTTTGACTTAGTTACGGCCTTTTGTAATTCAGCGACAATGTGAGATAGGGCCTTTCTACATATGTATATTAAGGTGCGAAAAAATTCAAATAAATTACGTATGTACTATGTATGTTGCATAAATTGTAAAACAAATTCTCTGTCAATACTTTCTTCCGGATGCATATCTTTTAAAAAAATTACAGCAAAGCCCTCACTAACTGAACCGGAAAATCCTGTCTTAGGGAAAGTTCATACATTTGTGGACATTTCCAACGAGTCTTCTCTTCTTACGCTTATGTGAAGAGGCTGTGAGCAGAGTAATCCNTTACAGCAAAGCCCTCACTAACTGAACCGGAAAATCCTGTCTTAGGGAAAGTTCATACATTTGTGGACATTTCCAAAGAGTCTTCTCTTCTTACGCTTATGTGAAGAGGCTGTGAGCAGAGTAATCCACAATCAAAGAGGGGAAGTGAGATTAGAAATTTGCATTCATTTCATTTTACTTTCATTCATTAAATCTTTGACAATGATGTATCCAATTCTAATTGGAATAATTACATTGGTTTTTCTTCTCTTCAACGCATCTATCTGGTAACGCTCTCGTGGTATTGTAGAAAACTGTACTTTGAGAAGAGCGGCCATCTTGCTCTATTTACAAAACGTATGCTCGCATGCAATGCAACAAAAAAAAACCCACACTGCCACAGCAACGTACCGAACAAAATTTTCCTCCGTATAGAGACAAAAACTTGTATTGTTAAACGAGCACGATAGTAAATTGGTCGTAGGGTTGCCGTAGAATAATTTACGAATCACTATTGAAATGAGAGATTTCAATATCAATTGTAACTTGGGGTCTATAAAGGACAATTGTACAAAGACGAACAGCAATATATTCACACTTTACTAATAGATTTACACTTCTCTCATTGTCTTCGAAGACTGAAGATCTATATGTATGCAAATCTTTTCTTAAACTATTTTTTCCTTAATACTAAATTCAACTGAGATTTATTGCCATCTTCAAATGGGACTTGTAAGTTTTCCCTATTTGACTTAGAAATTTGTTTGGTTCCCTATCAAAACTTCAAATTGGTCACTTAAGGTCAAGACGGGGACATTATAACAGATAAAGTACAAAGAGCGATATTAAAAATTTGACCTTAAAATCATTCGCGTGTTCTTCCAACAGAAAACTCCCAACAGCAAAATTCAAATGAAGTTTTATCTGTTCTCTCTAAAGGACAGAAATGTTTGCAAAAGTACACGATCGCAAACTCAGCAAAAACTTGCAAGTTTAAGGTACAGCTGATCGGAATTTCGTTTCGAAGCCATGAAAATAATATAAATTGAAAGTATGCCTAAAGAAATTCGCTAAGCAAAAGTAAGTAAATCAATATTTGCTTTCTTTCGAAACATATAAAGTTCTTATAAGTTATTTTGAACTTAAAAAACATCAAAATAAATCTCATAATTTTCATATATTGCAAACGGATGATTTTGATCAGCTTTTTTTCGTGCTGGTAAATTGCTGCTGGCAAAAATTTTCCCAACGAAAAAATGGAGCAGCTTCTCATCAAAATTTTTGTCTCTCAATTTGCCCTACTTTGCTGGATTTTAGTGTACGCGAACAGCAAAATTTTTGCATTTTTCTCACTATGAACTGCCAATTTTTACATGTCAGTACCATATTGCAATGCAATTTTAGGACAAAAATTTACTGTTACAAGTTTGTACGTTTTCAGAATTTTTTTTGGACATTTAAATAACTCAGCGCGAGGTAGCTCTACTCGACGCTGCCAACGTCAACAGCTCACTGCCTGAGACGGCGCAACGTCGGTGGTGGGGAAGTTCGTCGTCTTCGTTGCGGCTTTGTCATGCCCGCCGAGCGTACTTCGAGCGAGCGCCGAGAAGCGAGCGAGTGTAGCAAACGAAATTCGATCGAACTCAAATTTTTCAGTTGGAAATTTTCTACGTTGGCGAGTAGTCGTGAGCAACAGAAATTGTGAAAGCAGAAGCAGCAAAAGCAGAGTTTTGGCTGGCTGGCTGCTCTGTGAGATTTTCATCCATATTAGAGCCCACTCTGAGAACAAAAATAAATTCAGAAGATTCTTTCATAGATTTTGTAAAGCGGGAAACTTTAAAAACAGAGACATAATCCGCAAGTGTTTTTTTGTTTGGTGTTTATTATTTACAAAGTGAGTGTGAGAGTGCAAATAAAAAGTGGAAAAATAAAATAAAAATTAGCAATATTGGGGCAAAAGTCAATCCTGTAAATTTTGTCTAAAAGAAAACCTAGAGATCGGCATCCTTTGCTATACTATTTAATACATATGTATGCTACTTATTTTTTTCACTTTAGTTTGCTGCTTCGCATTGGAAAAACTTAAATTTTGTATCGTGGCGCTGGTGCAAACTGTACAGCTTATAGACGTATAAGCATTCGCAAAAGTGGCGAAGAACCCCATTTTTTTTGTACTAGTGGGTTGCCTTCTCGTGTGCCTGTTGGGGCCCATCAACTGCAAGTACTTTTGGCTCTAAACCTCCGTACGCCTTGCGCCAACGCAAAGTATAATGAATAATTATTTCAGCAAATTCTCAAATGTAAATTATCAAACTTGGATTATAATTGCTAAGTAGGCACTTTGAGGCGATAGATAGACACATATGTATAGTAAATTTAATTTGCAAATACATACATTTAACAAAATATCGATATGTTTGGCGTATTCGGACGTACACACACAAACTCGTATATGTACCTCCCATTTCCAGCTGAATCAACAATCAGAGGAGGGGAGCGTACACTCTTGATTACGTTGGCAAACGACGTTTGTGTGTGTGTTTTGTACTCTGCCCAAGGCAATTGTTTTTTTTTCAGTCTTATGAGTTGGAGCGAATGAATTTAGCTAGAGACTTTTGTAATTGTTGTTGCCTCTTGCTTGCGTCGACGTGAGCACTGCGCAGTAGAATATCTTTTTTTGCAGCAAAGTGAGTGGGGCCCAGAGCAAGTTAAAAGCAGACGTTCAATTGTTCATCGTTTTGCAATTGCTTTTAAATAAGAGCGACAGAGAGGGTGTGAGAGAGTTGCCAGCGACGACTTCATCGTAGCCGTATGTAATTCAAGCCAACATTTCCCCTACCAACAGGCTAGCAGCGAGTAAAGTAGAGCGCATGAGAGCGAGTGAGACATGTGGATGCACTCGCGTTGGCTGGCGTCAGCTCGCTGCTTACGTCAAAGATAAGCAATAGGAGAAGTCGGTAGGGGCGTGGGGGCATTGGAGCCAGCATCGGCCTTTTGAAATTTCACTTTGCGCTTTCAGGTTTTGTACAATGAAAATGCATCAAAAAGCTAAAGAAAAAATTTAACACAAGCACAGTGGCAATGTAGAGAAAATTGTTAGAGAAATGTATGCAGGTTATATGGGTGGCAAGTGATAGGCGCAACAGTGGGGGCTTAGCAACACTCGTCGTGCTATTTTTTCCAAAAATTTGGTGGGCTACTAGTGGTTTAGTATATGGTTCATTAGATAATTTATAGTCCTGAATATGTACTTAAATACATACCTACATGTAAACAAATTAATTTTTTTCTTTTTTCTAATTGCAGTTTTACTCTTGTAATAAAGCGACCATAACTATTTGAGTTGCTGATTTCGTTGGGGTTTACAGTGCTTCCAGCGGTGGTAGAAACTCGGAATTTTTCAATTTTTTTCCTTATAATTTATTGTAAAAGTGTCCAGTAGCAACGACGCTTAACGGCGTTGTTGAAAAGTCGGCCCGATGATGGCATTGCCAATGAACTCACTTTACTCCCTTACGTGGGGCGACTATGGCTCGTCACTGGTGACGGCCATTCAACTTTTGCGCTGTCACAATGACTTGGTGGACTGCACTTTGGCTGCTGGCGGGCGCAGTTTTCCAGCGCATAAAATTGTGTTATGTGCAGCGTCGCCATTTCTACTGGATCTGCTAAAGGTAAGTTAGTTTTACATTTTTAAATATTGACATTTATTTCAATTATAAACCTTTACACTTGTTTACAATAGGTTTGTATACATAGTACATGCAATATGTATGCACTTCTTATATTTAAAAGTAACTGTTTTTTACAAATCAGTATGGCCTAGTCAAAGTGTGAACTTGTGTGATGTCGTCTGCAGTTAAAATCTAATCTTAACAGAATTATTCGTGGAGATGTAATGAAAATAGCTTGATAACTAAAAATCAATAGCAGGTGTAGCTTGGGGTAAAACTCATCCATAGCGCAACAAAACAAAAATTACAGTATTGGCCAATACAATAGCACCCCCATTTCAAAGTAATGTTGTTTCCCAATCATGTTTATTTATTTAGTTTTAGGAATTTTCAATTAAAACACAGTTTATTCTTTAANATAATGAAAATAGCTTGATAACTAAAAATCAATAGCAGGTGTAGCTTGGGGTAAAACTCATCCATGGCGCAACAAAACAAAAATTACAGTATTGGCCAATACAATAGCACCCCCATTTCAAAGTAATGTTGTTTCCCAATCATGTATATTTATTTAGTTTTAGGAATTTTCAATTAAAACACAGTTTATTCTTTAACAAAACCCATATAAACCCAAATTTAAAACTTGTAGAAAACTAAAAAAAATGATTTTTTAGAATTTGTTTCGCCGAAGGTGTTGCGGGTTTCTTCCATATAAAAATGAATTGTGTTTATTCATTAGGTATATGGAGCAAATGAGAAAAATCTAAAAAATCAACGGTTATTTTTAGCCACTTGAAACTTGCATATTTTTAGACTAATGGGCTATACAACTGCGTACTCAAAAAAATTCTAACACTTCTGAGAAAAAAGTTTGAAATTTAGGTGAAAATTTGTTGAATTTTTTTTGTGGTCTTTTACAAAGTTTAAAACTTGGGTTTATATGGGTTTTGTTAGAGAATGAACTGTATTNCGTTGATTCGTTAGGTATATGGAGCAAATGCGAAAAATCTAAAAAATCAACGGTTATTTTTAGCCACTTGAAACTTGCATATTGTTAGACTAATGGGCTATACAACTGCGTACTCAAAAAATTTCTAACACTTCTGAGAAAAAAGTTTGAAATTTAGGTGAAAATTTGTTGAATTTTTTTGTGGTCTTTTACAAAGTTTAAAACTTGGGTTTATATGGGTTTTGTTAGAGAATGAACTGTATTTTATTTTAAAATTCTTAAAAATTAATAATTAAACATAAGTGGCAAAGAATATCACATTGAAATAGGGGTACTATAAATATGGCCAATACTGTGTACATATATATGTATAGTTAGAGCTCGGTCTACATTCCTAGGAGACTATACCCTCAAAGCTCCCGCAGCTTTTGTTCCAGAGAGCGAAGTAAAGGGTTTTANAAAAATTCTTAAAAATTAATAATTAAACATAAGTGGCAAAGAATATCACTTTGAAATAGGGGTGCTATAAATATGGCCAATACTGTATACATATATATGTATAGTTAGAGCTCGGTCTACATTCCTAGGAGACTATACCCTCAAAGCTCCCGCAGCTTTTGTTCCAGAGAGCGAAGTAAAGGGTTTTGCAAAGCGTTGCAAGAAATTACTGACTACTTCTTGGACCTCCCTAGATTCTTCACTGACGAGATTTTCAAATTCTTGGCTTTTCTAACTTTCCGCACGCGCAAAGTCAAATCGGCAACAACACTTGGGGTCACAAAGAAAACTACCTTACTCACTGATTATAAAACGACGGCAGATCGCAGGATAATAGGAGAAGTTTGTAGCTCTAAATATGTTTTTTAAACTGGCGCCTAAAACCTTTAGAAAGTCACATTTAAGATGAACGGCACATGTTGGCGCTGAAAGAGCAAAAAATGTTATTTATCGANACAAAGCGTTGCAAGAAATTACTGACTACTTGGACCTCCCTAGATTCTTCACTGACGAGATTTTCAAATTCTTGCCTTTTCTAACTTTCCGCACGCGCAAAGTCAAATCGGCAACAACACTTGGGGGGGGTCACGAAGAAAAATACCTTACTCGCTGATTACAAAACGACGGTGGATCGCAGGATAATAGGAGAAGTTTGTAGCTCTAAATATATTTTTTAAAGTGGCGCCTAAAACCTTTAGAAAGTCACATTTACGATGAACGGCACATGTTGGCGCTGAAAGAGCAAAAAATGTTATTTATCGAAGCAGTTCCTCTATAAATGCAATCGTCGTAACAGTCCAAACAAGGCCCTGGAACGCAACGAACCGAAACTCATCCTCGAAGACGTCGTATACCAATGTATTGAATAATATTCACTATCCACCAATACAGTGTGCAGGCTAGTTACGGCAATCCTCTCGCCATCAACTTCGATAAAATGTGGGTACTACATTTACCATTGCAGTAAATCGATAATTAACCTGGATGATACTGTGATGATAGTTTGGCTTTTCAAACTGGACAAAGTAACTATAGGAAATGTCCACAGTTCAGTGTAAAGAGAATAGACTTTCCCACTAATGTACATGCATTTGATGCGCATTGAATAAATGTTGTTTTTTCCAAATATTTTACTAAACAAACTGTCCTGCAGCGAAATAATTCTTGATAAAAACCGTTATTACACTACAGCTATTTTTATGAATACAAATACACTTGATTTTTATTTGGTTTGGATTTTTTTTTGCACGGATCTCCATGCATACCCATTTCTCGCGGACTTCTAATTATGCATACAATACAAATTGAAAAGATGGCCGGATAGTGGCCTCATTAAAGGACAATCATGTACTAAAACTAAGATAACGCTATAAAAAACAAATAAAAAAAAAACGTAAACAAAAACAAACAAAGCAAGAGTAGTCGTTTGTTTGTAAACAGAGATATATTTTTCAANCTAAAACTAAGATAACGCTATAAAAAACAAATAAAAAAAAAACGTAAACAAAAACAAAGCAAGAGTAGTCGTTTGTTTGTAAACAGAGATATATTTTTCAAATGGGTCAATTCTTGGTGGATTGCTTCGAAAACTGGCGAGACCGACACACATTTTAGGCCTCATTCTCAACATGATGCGTCCAAAGAATTTCTCTGCATACTCAACTAATTTGTAAACTGAACTCACAGAAANAATGGGTCAATTCTTGGTGGATTGCTTCGAAAACTGGCGAGACCGACACACATTTTAGGCCTCATTCTCAACATGATGCGTCCAAAGAATTTCTCTGCATACTCAACTAATTTGTAAACTGAACTCACAGAAAATAGTTGTGGACCGCGCTCACCCGCACACCAACCACTTGCACTTTGCGCTCCGCTCTTCCTCGTGCTGCCACCACTGCGCTGCTTTGCTTGCTCCGGAGATTGCACGTCCGATATTTGGGCTGATGCGTCCTCTGGCCTTATTTGCACTAAGCCGGCAAAGATAATTGCGAGCGTGGGGAGACAAAACATAAGCGGTTCGCTCAAAAAGTTATTGGTATAAATAATCAATTCGTACATAGATGGGCAAAGTTGGTAAACTGTTTTACTGCAACGGAGGGCACCAGACTGTCAACCGCTTTTGAAAAGCATTTATTGTTATCAGTATTAAATTTACTTACCCACATAAATACATATGTGTGTATGAGAGTGTGCTATGCAGAGACTGAGATGAAAAAATAATAACGCCATCACAATTGTTTGTTGTAATGACTTTGAAGAAGACTTCTCGTGAGTGGAGGCGGTAGAGTGGCAATGACGACGACGGTGTTGGAGATGAGTAGCGCAGCGCAACACCACTTTAATTTTCTACCATGGCAGACTTTAGAGATTTCTTTTTAAGATTTCTATTAGTAATTGAGGCGAATGAGGAAATATCTCCCTCTGAATGTGCCGTGTGCGGCGTGACATCATTGCCTCTTGAACAGGTTCAACGAGATTCGCATTTATGTGCTCGCACCCAATTTAAATGAAATGTGTCTCAAATTTCTGTTGGACATGAACTCGGCTCAGAGCGGCGGTCACAATCGAGTTATGCATGCCGGTGATTGCGACAGCTTTTGCTGTTTCAGCGGAAAGTTTTTATTATGCGACCACTTGGAGAGACCTATGGATTCTTTATATTTCTAAGAAATTATTAAACTTTTGCAATAATGCGCCCAGAAGATTCTATTTAAAAAGTTTATATATGTAATTAAGTTTTTTATTTTTGATTTTAATTTCAAAGTGAAATACATGTGTATATATACATATATATGTACACACCTAAATTGCATTATTCAGTTGCTACAATCGCCAAAGTCATAAAAGTCGCACAGCCACAATGGTCACACGGTTCCCCTGCTTATTTACCTGTGCCGATGCCGAGTAGACAGACTGGTGAGTGAGCGAGAGCAGCGAGTGACCACAATCCTGAATGCGCCCTCCACAGAAATGTAAGCGCCAGAATGAGAGCACGAAAGAGTACACAATTTGGTGGTGAAACCCACTTATCGAACCAAGTATATATATATACATAAGTGGCTCTTGTAGCTCTTGGAAGATTAAGAGCGGAGTGACGGGTAGCGTAGCTTTGAACTGCGCATGTCTCGGCGCTGGTTCTTCGCTTGGTTGACTCGTTGAAAATTCAATGCACACTCTTGTACTGCGTTCCTCGCACTGCTCGTCGTTTCAGGGGATTTGCGCGGCTTTTCCATATGTGTGTATGTTTCGTCCAACCAATTCTCCTACTTTTGTGTTGACTCACGTCGTGGCAAAGCAAACAGTAGATATTACCTACATACTCACTGCTCTTTACAGTTGCTGTGTGTATACCTACATATGTGCATATACCTCTTATTTTCTCCCTATACGTTCGACCTTTTGTATAGTCCTCTTGTGGCTCTCCCCTCTTCAAATGCATTATTCACCGTTTTTTGTTTCTTTCATAATCTCCCAGAAGAATCATGTGGCCTGGCCATGTTGTTTCTATTTTCCGGAAATGTGTGCCGAAAAAAAATACCCCGAAACCGTG